ATCATGCATACAAAGTGCGTGGCATGTAGAAGTTAAGATAATAATAAGCTCCAGAATAATAAAGATTTCTTCATTCCTATACATGTCCTGAAAATCTTCCTGAAAGTCTCTTCCTAAAGAAACAAAACCATTTTTCTTAAACAGAGTGCTTTTACAGATGTAAAGCATGAGATCTATGAAGGCAAATAGCACTTAGAAAATTCCCAAATTCTTTTGGCTACAGGTATAAAATTTGTGCTATAAACTGGGCACAAAAAAGTCCCTTAGAAATGTCGCAGTCTGTGATGGGCCAAGTTTTATTCCATAACTCATTTGGATAAACACTATGTTGGAATGATTGCCACCAAAGGAGAAGGAGGGAGGGAGGGAGAGAGGGAGGGGGAAGGGAAGGGGAGAGAGAGAGAGAGAGAGAGAGAGAGAGAGAGAGAGAGAGAGAGAGAGAGAGAGAGAGAGACTGCCATAATGGTCCTCCCAAGTCCTATTTTATTCCCTTGTAGTGTTGGTTTAGGAGAGGAATCAAGACATCTAAACACTCAGCCAATAATCCTGGTGGATGCTGAAAAGGCCATGCACTTGTCACAACTGATAGCTTATTCTCCAAAAAACAACTAGACTGAGGACACCACAGTGTTCTTTTTCATTTCTGAAAGGCGAACAACTATTGGCAAACCCTAATTTATCTCTGGGTAATGGGTCTGGCCTGAGTGTTTTCCTGGGTATGCCTGATCACATGGTGCAGAAGGGAGACCTTTGCAGCATCAGCAAAGCCTAAGGCCTATTTGAAATAGACAAAGGGAATTCAATTTTTGCTACTTTCTCTTCACACTGTTTTCTTAGTTCCTAATGCTCCTTTTCTTCTGATTCAAGACCCTCAGATTGTCCTAAACTCCTTCTGTGAGACCCCACCTGGTCCTTTCCTATGTCCCCAAATTCCTGTGTTATGCAAAATGAATTCCTCCTGTTCCCAAAATTCCCAACAGGATATCAATGTTAAAACATTCAGGGTAAACTAATTTATACTAATGTTTGATCGGTAGTCCCATAATCATGAGCTATTTGCATCTTTAAGAAAGATGACTATTGACAAAATTAATGCCTAATTAGAATATAGGACAGTAGTTATTAGGTATCAAGTCAATATCAGCTTATTTTGTTTTTAATTGGTGGGATGAGAAAAGAATAATTGGGTTTTAGACGGGGTCTTCTTCTCTAAACTGACCTAATTTTTTCTAGATTCATTCTCTCCTCAAATTCTGCCACCATCGCTTCCCTACCAACAGCACATATTTTTGGTTTGTTTTTACCCAGAAAGGTTCTCATCACAGCAGGGCCTCTGGCAACAGGGACAAAGACGTTGATGTGGGGAGGGATACAATTTGGGCTAATAGGCATTATTAATGAGCGGTGAGCACATCTATCATCTGAATATTGGTTAAAAAAGCAAACCTACCTTGTTACTGCCGCATAAAAGCCTGACCCAGAGTGTAAAACATTCTACTTAATATTACTCCCATTTACAAAGCCATGCTAGATATGGGTAGAACTTGAAATATGTCAGGATGGGGGGGGGGGGGGAGGAATAGTTGTCCAAACTTTTATAAATATGTGACAAAACTGATTTCCCTGGAGAAGCCCCAAATTTCTAAGGGACTTGATAGGAGGCACAGGGGTCCACATGCAGCATGTAGACCATCGGAAAGAACTGTCACAAGGATCCCAGTAGAAAGGAGGAAGCTTGAGCTGTGGGGCGTTAAATGTCACATTCCTAGGGAACCAGTGCTGAGAACAGAATCGAAGTTCTGACACTCTCCACCCCCCATGTACTTCACTGCAGCTTTCCTGGGCCACCTCCAGAATATCTCAGCTTTCAGTCACCCCGTGGCTGGTACCAGGGAGCACAGATGTGCCCAAAAGCACTTTTTAAATTGCCAGCATTTGCATTTGTTTTTGTTTATTTGACTTTCCAACGTGAGTAGATGAGTAGTTCTCATTTCCAACCTGGTAATGTAAAGAGCTTCATCGTCTCTGGCTGAGCCAATTCTGAAATTGAGCTGATTCTTGCTACCAACAATGCAGCTGGGATGAACTAAATTTCATTGTTGTTAAAATGATGACTGGATCTGAAAAATTATGATCATTGAAGCATGGAAAAGGAGGAGAAGGAGGAGGGGGGGGAAAGGAAAAAGAAAGATGTATGGAAAGAAAAAAAAAAAAAAAGAATCACGTCAAAGATGCTCAGATTACAATAATATGGAAAAAGAGAACCAAGCAGCAAAAGAAAGGAGGGGAAATCAGTGTATCATGACTGCAAAGCCCACAAAAGAAGCAAAAGGAAGCACAGGAAGGAAGGGCTATTCTTCACTGTTCACAGAATTCACACAATTCAGCTAGTTTTTTTAAATGTTTTATTGATTTGAGAAAGAGAAACATTGAGGAGTGAGAAATACCAATTGGCTGTCTCCTACACCCCTGCCCCCTTACTGGGGATGAAGCCCGAAACCCTGGCATGTGCCCTGACCAGGAATCAAAATGGTAACCTCTCAGTGCATGGGATGATTTTCCAACTGAGTCATACTGGCCAGGGCTCAGCTACAGTTTTAACATGACCTGGGGTAGCACTAACCCCAGAACTGTGGGAATCATCCTCTCTTCTATGAACCACAAGGTGAACCATTCCCTCAAGGTAGTCGTGGACTTGTGAGAGGCCTAAAGAACATACAGTGACTGTAGGATGCCATTAGCCAATAGATCTGTTAACCAAAAACAGCACCAGGTATTAGAACTTGGTAACCCCTCCTGTACCTAGCCTATGGTTTCTACTCTGCTCATGTTTGTCTCACTGCCCACTATATCAGACCTCTCTCTTCTTCATCACGATCCATTCTCTTAGGAAACAGGTGTGAATGTATATGTGATGCCAAGAATGTACGAGTCCCCCTCGGGGGCATGATCACAAGCTGGAATGTGGACCTCCTCAATGCACACAAACGCCTACACAGACAAGCATACCTCCTTACTACACAGTCATGGAGTCCCAGTCTTCCTGCAATACCAGGACCAGAGAATTCTACACTCTTCTCACTCAGATGCCAATCCCTGGAATCCTCTGGAACCAGAGGAATTTCCAAAAACTTCTCCCTGGTGGATCACCCTCTATTATGATTCTCACATTTCCCTCTCGGAAGCCTTTTCCTCCCTCTAGTACTCCAGCCTTGCAAGAGCTATCTTGAGAGTCAGGTACCTTTTGCACTGAGATGCTAAAAGCCCGAGGAAAAGAGCATTCACTTTGCAACCTTCTTGGGGATTTTATTTAGCTAGATAGAGCCTCTTCATCCGGAGGAGGATTTAAAGCATGGTGGGAACTTCAGCTCAGGAATCAAAACAATTCTCCAGAGCTCCGAGCTAACTGTATTTGCATAACAATTTAACAGAATCCAAACAACAGGGCAAGGTCAGGTGAAATAAATTGCCAAGGTCATGCTTCTCTTGAATTGGTGATGAAATTCAGAATTGCTGATCTCCAGGGCTTGGCCCCTTACTCTCCCAAATAATATTGTGGCATAAAATAAATTTATCGAATGTGTGAGAACCACGCACCTCCTCTTAAACGTTTCCCTTCCTTCTAATTCCAGATCCTGTAGATCACAGAGGAAAGGATGATATCATAACCCCACCGACCTCACGCATTAGCATACAAATGAAAGAATTTACTAGAAGCAGTGCTCTGGGGGGGACGCCTGGTCTAAAACCAGGAAATGCTGTTTGACTGGGTTTGAAACTCTCCAAGTAGGTTGAATCTCTTTAATTTCTTGATCAAAGGATTGCTTCACATTCACTGTTTCAATTCTGAGAATCTAAAACCATGGGGATCCTGAAAGCCCGCAGAGGCCCACGTGCCAGAGAGGAGGAATTGAGGGGATTACATGTGTACTGGATCCTTGCTTTAATATCCTTAACTCAAAATACCTGTACACCAACACATTAGAGAGAAGCTCATTTAAAGTCACAGCCCCTTTGAACTTATCCAAGCGAACCAACTGGGTTTCAGATTGCTCGGGGCGCAGCTCCAGATTCAGAATCCTCCACACTGGGGAAGCCCACGCCCTCCGAGGTCGCAGGGAATGTCGCAAGCTGCGGGCTCCAAGCCTTGGAGTGGGGAGAGGGGCCTCGCCAGGCGCGCAGGAAGCATCTGCCGGGAATCTCACCACCAGTGGGCGTTTAGCGCAGCCAAGCGTCAGGCTGGTGCCAGGGCTCAGCAACAGGGAGGCGCCGGCCGAGGCGGGGAGAACTTTGCGCTCCGAGCAGAGCCACCCTTTGCTGGCCAGTCGCGTCGCTCCTCGCTCCTCGGAGGAAGCCAGCGGCGGGCAGCGCCTGAGGCGGAAAGAGGGCGAAAGAAGGAAGAGAGGAAGTAGCGAGGGAAGTAGGAACATGAAGCCAGTGCCGGGGAAGCCCGCCAGGGGATGGCCCACGGTGGAGCGCGGCGGGTTTGGCTGCTTCTCCGCATCCCGGCGGCCGTGAGCACCTGCTCCTCCCGCACGACCCCAAAGACATAAGTGCGCCTTGCTCGCTCGCCTCGGTGGAAAAGGAAGAAAAAAAGAATCCAAGGGAGCTCATCACCCTCCTCGGTCACCGCTGCCCCCCCTAGGACTCCGGGGGGCCGGACTCAGAGCCGCCCTGCATGCAGATGGGGCGGGCGAGGATCGGGCGCCCCAGCCGCGGGTGAGCGGTACCGGCCCGCCTGGCTCCGCGCAGGGACTGGGCGGGCAGAGGATGCGAGGCGCTCGGACCCAGGAGCGGGATCTGAGAGCGGCGAGGGCGCGCTAGGCTGCCCCTCGGATGGCCCGGGGACCGGAGCTCCTGCTCCCGGGACGGCTTCTCCGCGCCCAGTGAGCCAGCCGTGCGCGCCGGACCTGGGGGCGGAGACCTCAGGCGGCGGCGGCTGCAAAGGGGGGCCGGCCGGACGCAGGAGGGGGCGCGCTTTCTGCCCGCGGGTCTCAGTAATGAGGAGACTGAGTTTGTGGTGGCTGCTGAGCAGGGTCTGTCTGCTGCTGCCGCCGCCCTGCGCGCTGGTGCTGGCCGGGGTGCCCGGCTCCTCCTCGCACCCGCAGCCCTGCCAGATCCTCAAGCGCATCGGCCACGCGGTGAGGGTGGGCGCGGTGCACCTGCAGCCCTGGACCACGGCCCCCCGCGCTCCGGACGGCAGCCGGGCGGGCGCCCAGCGCGATGAGCCCGAGCCCGAGCCCGCGACGTGGCGGCCCCCGGCGGCGCCCTCGCCCGGGGCGCGCTGGCTGGGGGGCGCCTTGCACGGCCGGGGGCCGCCGGGCGTCCCGAAGCCCGGGGAGGGCGCAAGAGGGGCCAAGACCCTGTGGCCTCGGGACGCCCTTCTCTTCGCCGTGGACAACCTGAACCGCGTGGAAGGGCTGCTGCCCTACAACCTGTCTCTGGAAGTGGTGATGGCCATCGAGGCGGGCCTGGGCGACCTGCCGCTCCTGCCTTTCTCCTCCCCGAGCTCGCCCTGGAGCAGTGACCCTTTCTCCTTCCTGCAGAGCGTGTGCCACACCGTGGTGGTGCAGGGGGTGTCGGCGCTGCTGGCCTTCCCCCAGAGCCAGGGCGAGATGATGGAGCTGGATCTGGTCAGCTCCGTCCTGCACATCCCGGTGATCAGCATCGTGCGCCACGAGTTTCCGCGGGAGAGTCAGGTGAGGGCACCCGGGCGCGGCGCGCGGAGTGGAGAGGGCGCCGCTGGGGCTGGGACCATCCCGGGGTTGGGGGGGGGGGGGATTGGGAGGGCTGGGGGCACCTAGGGACGGGAAGTCCTGAAGGACTTAGGGCTTTTTAACTTTGGTACTGTTTAAGGATTGGACCACATCGGTCGTTGGTAGGTAGAAGTAAAATGAAAACATTTCAAGCAAAAAATGGGGATAAGTGCCGGACGAAGTGGAAGTTTAAGTATAAGATCTTGGAGAGCGATCCGGGTTCTAATGACTAGCTTGGGGGCGGGGGTGAAAGGTGGGGGGAATGTGCGAAGGGCGATGGAGGATCCGTGGCTGCCAGAGTTTCACTCCCTTGAGGAATTCGGAGAGCATGTGGCAGAAAGAGCAGCATCTGTTCTCCTTGACTTGAGATGTGCCTGAGCCATAGGCGGTGCTGTCAGGAAGGAAGCATGTCCCTTTGAATGCCTTTGAGTAAATAAATCTGTAACTATCCCGAACCGGTTTGGCTCAGTGGATAGAGCATGAGCCTGTGACTCAAGGGTTCCAGCTTGGATTCCGGTCAGGGGCATGTGCCTTGGTTGCGGGCACATCCCCAGTAGAGGGTGTGCAGGAGGCAGCTGGTTGATGTTTCTAACTCTCTCTCTCTCTTCCCTTCTGTGAGGGATCCATAGACTATATAAAAAAGAAAAAGAAAGAAATCTGTAACTAGTACAGAAGCAATAGCTAAAGAAGGGTGGTTAGTTGGTCTTGGCCATTATGTGATGGCATGAAATGGATGGGGTGAGTCATTTGGGATCATGTCTTTATCCCTATCTTCCTTCTGTGCCATGTGGGCTCAAAGGCTGGCTGTACGCAGATGCTCTCTTCAACCCACTTCTGCTCCAGTTATCTAGAAATAAAGGACGTTTCCTATGGGTTAAAAAAATCAAATATATTTCCAATAACAGAAACTATTTGTAAACTTAGTTGTTGACCTAATGATGAGATCAATGTTTAAGGAGAGAAGGAGAGGGTGGGGTCTTTTAAGCAATAGAAGTTGTATGCATTTTGTGCCTTCTTTTTATCAAAATACCAAAGTTCATTAAGCCTTGCACGAAATATTTATGAAACAAATAGGTAATTGGTATTGGTCCCATTGTAGAGGCTGAGAAACTAAGGCTGAGCAAGGACAGATATCAAAAGTTTGATAGAATCCGTGCATAAAATATCAAGAAAGTACTAAAGATTTATTTTTCTAGAAGAATGGGCCTTATATTTTTTAATCTTAGGAAAGGCAGACACTAGTTACTTTCAGCAGTTGCTCAGAAGATTCCTGTTTAATGCTGAACCAAAGAGATTTAATCTGCAGAGTGCAGGCTAATTAAATTTTATCTAAAATATTTCCGTCACCTGAATCTGAATGTCTATAGGCAGCAGATGGGAAGGCATCAAAAACACAGGTGCACAATGCTGCCAATGACCCAAGTGTTACAAACATGAAATTGCATCCATAGGGTGTATCATCATTAATATACGTGCAGCATCAGATCTAATGAAATGCAAGAGTCAGCATCGCTTGTTTCTCTTCATTGCTTCTTTATTACCTAATATCTCATAAGGTGCCAATACTGCTCACAGTCTCCAGACGCCTCTCCATTTGTAGATTGTTTGGCAAAGAGTCTTAAATAGCAAGAATTTTTCCCCAAATTAGTGTTCCTTAGTTAGAAGGAAAATTGTCTGTGTTCCAGGATGGGTGTGTGCAGTATACAGCATATTACAACTAGGGGACCAGAGCGGCATCTAACTGTGAGGCGGCATCTAACATCCACAGACTGCAAAGGTTAAGACCCCTCGGGGGGAACAGAGTCCTCTAGGGACAACCTCTGCAAGCAGACAATAAAAGAAACACTCAGCCACGCACATTTACTTCTATATTTCTGTTCAAAAACTTACTTTACATCACTGTTGTCCATTGTTATTTTCCTGGCACACATCTTGAAAGGGAACGATTATGATATTAACTCAGATCTAGTTTGCCCAACTGAGGACATTTTATTTCATTTATCTTTGTGTCTTAAATTCAAACATATCTAACTCACCTTACTTTTAATATATTATTTAAATGTCACTCTATAATGTTGTATAATGAGAATGTCCAGCTCAATGCCAAATCATTGTAATATATAATTTTAGGATATGACCATAATCTGCTTTCAGCAAAAATAATAACTAATCTTTCCCTGGTTTCTCCTCAAAAGTAGATCTTTCTCTAATATACTGATGAGATTTTTAAAAAATTATTTAAATAGAAAAGAGTGTTGAACTCATTTTACACATTAAGTAAAATTGACGTAATGTAGCCACTGTCCTCATTAAAGTCTACTGCCCAGGGACCCAAAGTTATTGATGGTGCCAGTGCCTGAACAAGGATTGACCACACAACCAATGAAATAAAATTGTGTCTCTTGTTTAGACAAATCAAAATTGCTTTAGAGCAGGAGCAGCAACATTTTCTCTCGCATTAGAGCTGCTGATTTCTTTCACATAAAGCCTTTCATTACTGCATACAGTAGGTCCTCAAGTTAAGTTGGAGATCCGTTCCTACCATGTGACGTAACACGATTTTCCCCATAAGTCGAAACCCACCTGCATAAGCACCTACGTCACTCACATGGAGCACATACACAGCAGTTATGAAGTGAAACAGTAAAAGAATTAAAAAATAACAATTCCTGACCTTTACTTGTGGTAAATAACAAAAAACATAAAGCACATATGTACATATGTCAAAATGATGGAGCTTTTTTTATATATAAATAAATGGGAGTTGGTGATATAACCATGAAACTACCTAGGTCAAGTTCAATGTAACCCGAGAACTGTCTGTAATGGCTTTTATGGTACCTACTGCAACTTCTGAATGGAAGGAGAAACCACTGAAATGATCCAGTCTCTCAGAAAAGCATAACAGTTTTATTTCAATATACTGTTTATTCAAAATATATAACAGATGATCAGCTTGGAAGGAATCAACTCCCTTCAAGCAGGAAATCCATTGAAAAGTAGGATGGTTAACTACACACTTTTGGAAACCATTTGTATATTATCACAACATAATAAAAGCTCAAAGCAACATTACACGCAGGACAGGGTCAATGCACATTTCCATAAAAAATAAAGTCTGACTTGACTACCACACTCCAGTCTCTCCTTGAAGCTAACTTATTTTATTTAGATGATCACTTGTTAGTTCTATGACCTTCAAATGATGAGGTTGCATATGGATCCAGTCACATTCACATATAAATCACATTAGGTTTCTATAGTTGTTCTTTCTCTTCCCTCCCCATAGTATTATTTCTCGTAGGAGTTTTGTATAGTTACTCCAAAGTTAGGTTTATACATTCCTTAAAATTAACCAGCTAAGGTAGTGCCAGATACACATTTCTTTCTAAAACATAGATCTCATGGTAATCCCATATTGGTTCCATTAGGCAAAGTTAATGGAATAATATACGATAATTGGCTTAGATCTAAACACATGCAATTAAAAAGTGACTACACTATAATTTTCAACTCTTGTTGGATGTACCATCCACAATTTGTATGTCTCATTGAGCCATAGATATTAACTAATTAATATATGTTTATTCCCTTAGAAATATAAGTGCTTTAGATGATCCATTTTCTTTGACAATGCAAGGCTAAGTACTGCAGCCTTTTTATTGGAATTTGGCTAGCACAGCACCACGTTTGTACAGCACAGGGGACAGAACAATGATACCACTATATAACTTAGGGACCTCATGAAGGGATAAGTAAAGGACATTTATTTTTAAAACATCTGCTCTCAACTGTGTTGGCTTTCCTTGACTTGCTCCAGCTAAACGCTGCTTTCTCTCTCTCTCTCTCTCTCTCTCTCTCTCTCTCTCTCTCTCTCTCTCTCTCTCTCTCTCTCTGGAGGAAATGTATTTTTCTCCATTTCATGATGAATGGCTGATAGCAGCACCTAATTATTGCTGACTTGAAGATAAACGATTTCAAATTAAATGTCAAGTGATGCAAAACTTTTCTTAGCAGTGATCTTTTACAGGTTCCTCTTGAAGAACTGAGACCCGGGATTCATTTGGACATTTTTATTGTTAATTTGGGAATTTTTTTATAACATTAATTTATTTTTCTAGATAAATAGAGAAGAGGAGATTGGCAAACATTATTCCTTAGGCAATTAGTCTGTCTCACCCACTTTTCTTTGTGCCTGCCACAATGTAGTCAGAAAGTGTATTTGATCTTGATCTTGTTTGACTCTTACATCTTGGAGTTAACTTTTGATTGAATCAGCTGAGCTAAGTATCTGAATCATCTGAAAACCAATTTCAGTGTCTAATTCCTTAATGTTTTATCTTCTGCTGTTGCAGAAAGCACCATGGCTTTTGTGCCATAAGGTTTTGGTTTTTTTTCATGAATACCCCTAATCAGATTCTAATCATGTTGGTTAAAAGGACTCAAAATCTACCTCTACCTCTTACTCTCCAGTTAATCTTGGGCAGGTGTCTCTGTCTCTGAGCATCTATGCTTACCTGTCAAAGAAGCTACCTTACCATCCAACAGAGTTGTTTTGTGATAAAAAAAAAAAATACTGTTAGCTAAATACTAGTAGAGATGTTGGTTATGATCTGATAAGTATCATCCAAGTCATAATCGCCATAATTCTCCATTAGTAGTTAGTAATCAAAATGGGATGTGATTTCACATATCTTCATCATCCACCTTATTCTCTACCCACTTCCTCATTTTTTTTCTTTAAAAAATAAAAAAGGGTAGCCCTGGCTAATGTGGCTCAGTTCGTTGGGCATTGTCTCCATGGTTTGATTCCTGGTCAAGGCACTTGCCTACGTTGCAGGCTCAATCCGTGGTGGAGGGGAGGGGCATGTGGGAGGCAACCAATCGATGTTTCCTTTTCACATGTGTTTCTATTTCCCTCTCCTTTCCTCTGTCTAAAAATC